TCAACCACCTCAGGCGTGCAAAGCCCTCAGCCCGAAATCGAGGGCCTCATGAGGTCGAATTCAATGGGATCTACGGTTTAGGGTTTAGGGTTTAGGGCTTAGGGTTGAGGGTTTGGGGTTTTGGGTTGAGGGTTTGGGGTTTAGGAGTTCCGGGGAGCCTGAATATTTTTTGGTAATATAGGGTGTGGGGTTTAGGATTTGATGCAAGGGTCTACGGAATGCTGCGGGTTAAGGGCTCTCTGTCAAAAAAGACAGACAAACTACACTTCAAAGCCTTCTCCAAATTTGTAAGGCCGCTGCAGTATGTTCTGGAACCCTGAACGATCCCTGGTACAAACCCTTGAAGCAGACTTTATCGACACCCTGCTCTAATCCTCATAGCCCCCACATTCCTTGAACCCCAAACCCGAAAAACCCATAAACTTATTAAAACTCTCTAAACCCTCTTAAACCCTCTTAAACCCTCTAAACCCTCTGAGCCCTCTAAACCCTTACGAAACCCTAGAAGCCCCCAAGGGTTCATGTTCTGACTCTGCGGGGCATAGGAGCGGCTCTGGAGCCTTCGGAGTCCCAGTCAAAGCACCTTTTGCTGTAGGGTTGAGGGCGTGGGGGATTTAGGGTTCATGGAGGGATTTAGGGTTTCGTGTTCAAAGAATTTTGGGTTTAGGGATTTATAGGGCTTAGGGGTTTAGGGATTTATAGGGTTTAGGGGTTTAGGGAGGGTGTGGTCAGGCAGGGTTCAGGCAGTTCACTGACCCAGAGACGGTCCATTTGAGGGATCTTTCTGCAGGCCCAAGGCTTCTGCATGCCGGGGGCCCCGGAGCCGCGGGGTCAGCAGTCGGACGTCAGGCCTTTTAGGTACTCGTAGGGTTCAGGAGTTTAAAGGGTTTTGTGAGTCCGACGAAGTTCAGTAACACCAATGCAGGGTCTATAAGGTTAGTTAGGGCTTAGGAAATGATGAGTACATGCTTTTCCTGAAGGTCTCCCTGGTATAAAGATAGTACAAGACTGTATCCCGAAACCCTACTATAGATCCCTTCAAGGAACCTTCAGACGATTCCTTTAGAGAAGCCTTATTCCTATTTGTGGGCCTCCTGCAGTACAACCGCCCCGCATTTAGAGAACCCTCAACGGCGCGTTCAAAGAGCATCCTTTTCTGGGGGGTTGCGGTTGGGGTTTAGGGTTGCGTCGAGGTTTACGGTTTCGGGCCCGGCAGGAACTTTCCGGGTGTTGGCGCTTCAATTGGGGGCGTAAATTCGTATCTGTGAGGCCTGTCGAGGTTTAGGATGGCTCCGGTTCGTAGCTCAAAGGGCCGAGCTTAGACTTTGGTTATCTGGTACGCCCTTCAAACGGGAGAGCAGGAAACTTCCCCTGAGCAGACCGAACTCCAGCAACTCTTGGTCCCAGAGCCTGGACGCCCCACTGAAGCCTTGAGGTGCCCAAGACTGCCTCACGCCGAGCCGTCTGCGCCGGGGGCCTCCACAACACGCTACTTGGGCCCGGGCCTCAGCACCCTCCTCCGTCACGTCTTTGCTTCAGGCTCAGAGTTGTCGTTGAGTTTCTGAAGCTTGTTTAAGCGTGCATCTAGACGCATTGCCTGGATTTTTCCGATGTCCTGGTGCACCGCCTGTTGGCGCGAGTTCGGGGGACTCTCTGGCTTAGGGCATCGGGGTGAAAGCCATCGAAACACTTACGGTCTGGTAGACCGGGAGGTCTGCCTGATTTTTCGGGAGGTTGGGGCGGCCGCCCCCGGCAGAGCCTGAGGAGCCCCCTTTGAGAACCCGAAAAAGCCCAGGATGCCCTGCTCGAGCTGAGATTTCCGCCCGGCAGACCCACGACGCGAGGGACTCGGGAGCTGTCGGGCTCACAGGGTTTAGGGCTGAGCTGGGTGTTTTTAAGGGTTCTATCGGATTTTTTGGGGCTGCTGGGTTTTGGGGTAAGGTTGTCGGGCTTGGAGAGTGTGGCGGGTTTGCGAACTTTTTCCTCTGGACTTCGCTGGGGTTTTATCAGGGCTCGGTGACGGTTTCTGGAAGGCCCAGAAGGATTATGCAAGGTTTCTACAGCAGAACTTGGAGCTTGGGGCTTTTTGTGCGTGCACCAGGGGTCGGCAGGCTTTCAGCAAGGTGGATGCCTCCAATCTGGATGGTTTCGTGCGGTTGCTGGCGGGCAATTCCAGATCCAAGTCCAACCGGGGCCACGGGCACATGCGGGCACCATTCGCGAAGGATTAGGGCCCCTTTGCCAAGAACGGCTTGGTGGTGTTTCCTGTTGGCTCCCGCCCTAAAGCTGTTGCAGCGGCATTTCAGGGCCTTGCATTTCTTAGCGCTTCGCGTCGGCAGCCTAAACCCAGACAAAGCTGTCCGGACTCGTAGTTCCCAGGCTGCCGCGCGTTCTCACCTGCAGGTGCCTGGCTCCCAGGAGCCCTGGCTTTTTCACTTCAGGCTCGCATTCGGGACTCTTCCTTGCAGAGACTTCTGGAGGTCTGGAGGCCGTGAGTCGGAGCATCGAAGTGAGAGGGCTCCCTGCGGACCTGGTCCCTCGCACCACTGTGGGGGTGTTTGGGAGGCCAGGGGCAACTTTCAGCGGCAGAACCCTCTTCGAAACCTTGGCGCCTCAAGGCCGCAGAGTCTGCGAAGAGACCCCTTTGGCACAAAGCCCCGTCAAGTTGCCATCGTGCCTGTCTCCTCTTCAGAAGGAGCCGCAGAGCTGGCAGCCCATGACCCTTGAGGCCGCCTCCCGCCCGAGGCGAAGATGAGCTGGGAATGCCGAGGCGGCCCGGCGGGGGGGGAGGCCCAAACTCTGGCAGCTTCTCTAGAAACCTGAAGGGAAGCCTCAACATCTTTGAAAAAATCTTCTTGCAACCTCATGCAGAGACCCTTCTCGCTACGGAGCTTTTCGTCTCCATGCGCCCGTTTTCTGGAAGCCCTCGGGGCCTTTGCTTTGGCTTCCTGCCAAAGCCGCGAGGTCGCCGGTGGCATCGCTGGAGCTGGGCCCGGGCGACAGCTCCATGCAGGCGTGCAGTGCAGTGCCGGGTGCGTTTGCAAGGGGATTTCCTGGGGACATCGGTCCGTTTTTGATTTCATGTTTGGTTCCACAGTTGCACGGTGGCAGTTGCGCCGTTTCGACTTGCAGCTTTGGAGCCAGTGTCACTGTGCGCTTGCAAGCTCGCCGTGCATTGCACATAGTCACATAGGTGTTGCGACTTGCTTGGTACCCTGCCCGGCCACCCGTGCGCTTTGGCCCACAGCGCATCTCACACCGAAAGGATCTTGGTCCAGGAGGCTGTGACTTTGCAAACACCTGCACACAGCTACAGCTACACGCACTTGCACACTTTGCACATCTTTCTACAGGCTTTTGAGAACGTCGAAGGCTTGCTGGACGGAGAAATTCATGAAGCGTCTCATCAGGTGCGGGTTGCCCGCCGTCCTCTGAATTCCCTGACAGCCCTAGCCCTAACATCCAGGCATGTTGAAGCACTGTTTTCGGGCTTTCAAACACGCTAAACTGGTCATGCGGAGATGGAAGGTCTGAAGCAGGATTGCGCAGTAGTTGTAGACTTGCTAAACGGAGAGGGTGCAGATTGGGCTAAATGTAGGGTCATCGGAAGGTAGAATGCATGGAATATGCATGTAGACTCGCGGTCTAGACTCCACGTGTTAGATCTTCCAGGAAAATGCGCTTAGCTTGCATGCCCCATGCTGAGAGAAACAGGAAGCAGTGTCCTGTCTGGTGCCTCGGTTCACAATACGCAGCTAACGTCGACGTTTAGGCCACAGAGCCCTCACTAGGCCCTTGCACAGAATTCAACCCCATAGCATTCGCTGCCTTTCGCTGCCTCCCGCCGGCAGGAGAGGCAAGCCTGTAGAGTGTTGAGGGTTTTGAAGGGGCAAGGCCCCGTTGCAAAGTTTGGCGGAAGTTTCCGTGTGTCTTCCTGGTTTTTTGCATTCAAGGAAGGTTGAGACGTGTTTTTAATGTGCTGCATGTTTCGCTCATGCTGCGCGAGTCTCGAAGTGGTGTGTTTTGCGTCGAAACTTTCCTCACAGATGCCGCGGAACTGCTGCAGTGTGAAATCCGTCAGCCCTGTGCCCGCGTCAGGCGTCCCTCTTCCGGCAGCGCCCGGCCGTGCAGGGCCCAGCTTGGCAGCGTGCCCCGGCTTGCCTCCTTCCTATCTATATATATATATATATCATATATTATACATACTTATGCTTCACATGTATATATGTATATATGTCTTATGCATATATCTCTATGCCTATATATATATATATATATATCTGTGTGTGTGTGTGAATCGAGCCGAAAAGCCTCCATTGCAAAGCCTTAAGCAGAGTGCGCAGCAGAGCGTGCGCGGCAGCAGGGTTTTTTCCTCCAAGCCCCTTAGTCGCTTCGGGGCCCGGGGGTCGTGGCGGCTGGTTTCTAGCGATGACTCTGATGCCCAGGCCATGGCTCCGTGGTGGCTCCCGGCGTTTGGGCTGCTTTTTGTGGCTGCCGGCCTCTGGCTGCTCTGCAGGCGTTTACGGGTGCTTGCTGGGTGTGGAACCCAAAGGTCAAGTCGTCGGATCGTTTCGAGGTTGAGCTCCGAAGTGATGTGTTGGAAGCAGCCCGCCGGCCCAGTTCCGCAGGCTCGCCTGCTGCGATGAGGAGGAGGACAGCACGGAAGAGGAGGTGGAGGAGGACGAGGAGGAACAGTATGATGATAAGATGTCGTCCCGGACAGCTCTTTGGTCGCACAGAATGCTATACGCGCCCCCTGTTACCGTTGGGATTGTAGGGATGGTGTGCAGACCACTCAAGTCATAGGCACAGTACAGAGGTCCCTGTTCGGAGACAGCACGACCTGTAGCGCGTTGTTGTTAAGTCTGCTGGTTCTCGGCTCCTGGCAAAGCTGCAAAGTTTGAGTTGGAGCTGAGGATGACTCTCGACCCTCGCGAGACTCGTCTGCGTATTGGGAGGAGGGTCGGCCAGGCGCGTGCATCCTCGAAATCTCGAATGTGCAGCTTCAACCCAAAGGATCGATTCAACACCCGCTGAGTTGCCAGGCGACGCACGGGAGGACCGCGGATGGCTTCTGCTGGTCTCGGGCTTTGTCTTAACTTGGCTGCTCGCAGTCCTGGTGGCCTTGCCAGTGACCGCGAAGCTCCTCGCTTTGGCCGCTCCTGGCTGCTTGCTCGGGTTGCTGGTGGCCAGGGACGTGGGCAAAGGCGGCGACAAATGGATCCTGGTCCCAACTGCCCTTCTCTGGTTCTGGTTGGCGGTGGTACCTTTCCTCGACGATGTGGCCTGGTGGCATCCACGCGGGTTCGCTGGGGTGAACGGTTTGGATGTTTTTGCCTAGTATGACACTTTGCTACGGTAGGAAGCTGCGTAGTTTAGGCAGGTCCTGAGTGCAGGTTTCTTCAGAAACGGGGTGCCTGCTGCGGATGTTGAAGGGCGAGATGTTGCTGTGTTGCCGGCGGATACTGACATACTACTCAGTATGAAGTGCTGGACAGCACGTCTTGTGCTGGAAAGTGGTAGCAAACTAGCCGATGATCAACTTCCCTTCTTGTGGTTTTTTCGACAGGCAGATGCACTCACGGACCCAGGACAAACCCTCGAAGCAGGTATCGTAATCCTTGGTCATAGGGATCAGAGCGGGAATCATGTTGAGGGAGTTCGGAGGAACGGAGACTGGAGTAGGTCAGATTTTGTGTGCTACGAAAGTTTTTTCGAGTCGTCGGAATGATACAGACGAATGCCGCATATTGAGAGAAGTGAGCCTCATGGCTAGAGGCATTTGGATAGAGAAGAAGTTTCGGAAAAGTCGGCCGCGCCGCCCAGGGCCTGCTCTGGAAATGGCTCCTGCTACTCCCCGGCCTGCTCTCCGTGGCTGCCGGCGCCCATCTGCTCCTGAGGCTCATCGGGTATGCGTAAAAGGCAAGGAACGTGGATTAATGTGGATTGGCAGAGGTTCCCCATGCAAGAACATGGAAGGGAACCGCGTCCACTCAGTAGTTTCCCAAACGGTCGCTGCCCTTGCACAGCCTGCAGGCGTGTGGATGCGCCTTGGTCAGACGTACTGGTAGTGTTCATTTGGGGAACACGGCACGCGGAAGCTTTCTTGCATGGCTGTATAAAGCCTATATACTATATAGTTGTGTTGATGGGGAATGGAGGCCGCTGTGTGTTTTGGAGCTGTTGTGTTTGAGCTCGTGGCGCAGCCTGCAGAGCCGCAACAACCAAGGCGAGCTACTCCCTGCTCTCACACATGGACCCGGATGAAGGCTCGACCGTGGAGCTGTTTCAGTGAAACCTCGAGCCTGCTGTAACGCTGAGCTGTGCACCGGATGCCTCTTGGCGAGGGGTAGCCCTGGTTCAATCCACTGCAGGCGAGCCCTGGAGGGAGTGCGGCTGGCTCCTCCTGGTCATGGGCGTGGTAACGATGTGGCTTTCAGTGCTGCCCATCCTGCTCCCCGTCACCGCGCAGCTCCTCTTCGGAGCCATCCCCGGCAGCTGCTGGGGCTTCTGGATGGCCCTTTACCTGCGAAAAGTGAGCGACAAGCGGGTGCTGCTGCCAGCCACCCTTCTGTGGCTCTGGCTTTCGGCGCTACCCTCTCTGGGCAACTTGGCCTGGTGGCGGCTGGCCCTCCAACTTCCGGGCCTGGGACTCTGCGCCGTCGGGGTGGCCATGGCAGCGCAGGAGCCTCGAGCAGAAGGCGACGTGCATGTGGGAGAAAGTGACGAGGAAGCTCGTGAAAGGAAGGCCAAGGCCGGGACAAAGGCTCAACAATCAAGCTAAAGGTATGTAGAGGCAGCACCATTTTTCTGAGAAGCCTTGGAAGCCTTGCACCTTCCCTTCCTCAGTTGCTGAGGCCCGAAAGGTCGCTGGGAAGAGCTTGGCCTGGAGCTGGGGCGGCCTTTGGGTTTCTTGGCTGCTGTCCACGGGCTCGCTCCTGCCCATCTCTTGGCCTCTGGCAGTTGCCGCACTTCCCGGCCTCGCCTTCGGGCTCTTCCTCGTGGGAGTGGTCGCCATACAAGGGGCCCCGCCTGATGGTTTATTCTGCATCCTTCATGCGGGTTTCGCGTGGCTCGGAAGCCTGCCGGTCCTTGTCGCCGCGGGCAGCTGGTGCCTTTTCCTTTTCCTGGAACTCTTCGGCTTCACCACTTGCGCTGCTCATGAGCAAGGATACTGATGTGGTATCAAAGCTGAGAGGGATACATCCTGTTGCGGTCACGTTTCTCTTCATCGGCGTGTCTTTGCCCGTGCTGGCGCTGTGGGCCTCGGCAGACTGGGATAGACCGTGGACTTGCGACCACGCGCCAGCCCCGATTTGCGAGACCTGGCCGTGGCCGGCGCTGCTCTCACCTCTTCTCGCGGCGGCCGTCACTTTCAGCGTGGAGTTCGTTACGGTCCATATCAGAGGTCGGTTCCGCCTGACGCGTGGCGATCTGCTCAGCCGGGCGCTGGTGCTTGTTCTGCTGGTGGCCACCGGTGGCATGCATGTGGGACCTCGAATCTGCCACCAACTGGGTGCAAGCTCCCGACCTCAATCTCTTGGATTACGTGCACTTGGCGAACTACACAGGCATTTGGAATCTGAAAAGCTTGCGATTGAAGGTGCATGCCGGGCAGTGGCTGCGAAAGATGCCTGAGCCCATATGGCCGAACGCCACGGAACTACAGCACCCGCCGCCGCACCGCGGCGACT